CACCTTCCCAACCCCAACTTCCGTATATTTCCAACAGTAAACCCAGGAAATATCTTAGGGGAGACATACAACTCTCTCTGGAACTTTATACTTCTTATAGTTACTTACAGAGCCCTTGTCTGTTTGAGTGGTGCTGAACTCTGCAGGGCTGTCCATGTGAACTTGACACACACATACCTTGTCCTAGCGCTCTGCAGTCCCGCCCACCTCGTGGCCAGGTGGTGTGCCCAGCTCATGGGCAAGGCTGAGCCCAGCACTGCCCTGGGGCCTGGCAGGCACTTGTCCCTCAGCAGTCCCCATGCAGCCCCTTGGGCTGGAGCTGCTGCTACGGCAGCTCTAGCAGCGGGGCCAGCTGCATTTCCTCCCCTGCCCCAAAAATCTCGCTGCACCTGGCAGTGAGGGTGTGTGTGTGTGTGTGTGTGTGTGTGTGTGTGTGTGTGTGTGTGTGTGTGTGTGTGTGTGTGTGTGTGTGTGTGTGTGTGTGTGTCCCGGCCTAGTGCTGCACACATGCATTCTTCAAGCACTACCCACCTGTGCAGTACCTGCAGCTGCTCCCGTGGGAGCCAAGGCACAGGAGCCCATCCTGGCTGCTCGCAAGGCACAGGGGCCTTCCTGCCCACCAGTCTCCTGCGCCGATGCACGTAGGTCTGCAGTGCTGCGAGGCTGTGGGGACAAAACAGCTCCAAAACCCCTAGACAGCAAAAATTCCTCTTTTCTCTGCTCCAAACACTCCTGTTACTGATCAGAAACACTTTGCACACAGTGGTACTTCAGCCCTCTCCCCAACCTCACCGGCAGCAGAGCCCTGGGGCAGGGGTTGGTTCCATGGTGTGCCTGTCCGGGTGGGTGGGGTGGGGGGGGCGTGCAGCACCCACCTCAGGCCATGAGCCTTGACAGGCCTGGGCTCCTGGCTCTCACAGGGAATTGACCATTCAAAACAAGTAATTTACCTGCTTTCTACAAATTAACACTCTCACAACAACTCCCTCTAATCATTTTTTTGCTAAAAGCATTAATTAAGACTTTAACATTTTTGATCCCATCAATTGTCTTTCCTTATTAAACAGATGTACTAGGGATGTTTGAATAATAAGTGCCTGAAGTTTGAGGATAATGAACACACGCACTTTGCCACTCTCTAGCTAAGCATGAAATTCACTGTGCAGCAGCAAACACAACAGCAGTAGCCTGTGCATTAACCAGCCTCGCTCTGACTTGCATGTTTGGGAGCACTATTTAACTGCCTGCTAATTCTGAATGAGAAGAAGCTCCAAAAATATTTTATGCAGGAAATGTGTTCAGACTGACTTTTGCATTCTCCATCACAAGAGTTAATGAACACTCTCCTGTCTTTCTTCCCTTTGCTGGACCTCTGGCCATCTTGCCATTCCCTGCAATGTTTTCAGGCTATCATAATTTGCCTTGGGAGTTATGCCAGAAAAGGAGCCTAAGCAGGAAATAGGTACTGCTGCCTTTTCTAATGGATCTTGGCATTGTGAAGGTCATTTGTGTGCTACAGAAACTACTTTGGTTTGGTGTGCACAGATCTAGCCTCAGCTATGTTACACTGTTGTAAATCCATTCAATTTTTATGCAATCAATTAATTGTAATGAATTTTTACTAGTTTAACTGATTGCAAAGTATAGCTGATGGAGCAGACTAGAAACATTACAAAACAAGAAGCAAAGTTCTATCGATTATCCCTTAGGAAAAATGTGCATTTCCCTATGACTACAGTACCTGGCTCATGTTTTGGGCGCTAGCAGCCACCACCCACGTTTCCCAGTCCCACTGCCTTGGTGGCTTGGCCAGCAGCAGCCACAGTGCACGAGGAGTGGGGCGGCTGCCAGGGCCTGCCCACGGCCCGAGCAGAGGCTGCATTCTCTTTTCTTTCCATCACAGTATTTCTCACCCCTTGAGGTGCTTTTTCCAGCACTAAATATTCTACCAAAAGTTGCAGCCTTTTTTTAAGCTGATTCAGTCCCCCTCACTACTCAAATACTGGGCCAAACACAGGCTGTGCATTGGGAGAGAGAAAAATAAAGAAACAAACAAAATAAAGCAAACAAACAATAAACAGCTAGCTCAATTTGGAAACCAAGGTCCTAAGATCTGCAGGACTCATTCTGCAGGTTTTTGAAGGCAGAAATAAAGTGAGGGTAGAAGCAGAGCCAGATTATTCTTGCAATCTGCTCCATGATGAAGATCCTGTGTCCTGGGAATGCCTCTGCTTGTATGCACCATCACTGGAAGAAAAATCTACCTATTGCATATTATTGTTTGGTTGTTCAGAGGTTTGAGAGTGCTGAGAATTTAGGAATTTAGAGAATATTTAGAGCATACAGAAATTGTTATTGCTATACACACTCAGGAAAAATAGGAATGTTATTCTTAGTTGCAAATTTAGTATTTTTTTACCTGTAATGTTACTGAAGTCTGAGAGACCTTGGTATTTCTGCCTTCCACGGCACACAGAACTTGTACATTTCTGTCAATTGGTATGTAAACAGTCTACAATGTAAAGGGAAGGACGAACGCAGGAGGATGTATCCACACCACACTAAGTGATGGACGTATCAGAGCGCAGGAGAGGATCTGTCTACTACTACACAACTTACTAAAGGACTGTACTGTGGTATGGCTGAATTTAAGTAAGAACGAGTATAACTGCTAGACAGGCTCCACTGCTTGCAGCTTCACCTACCTATTTAGTTAATTCTTCCTTCTTTTTTTTTCATCCTCCTCCTGTAGGAAGCTTTTGCATTTCCTCCCTAGAAGGCAGTTGAGTCCCTGAGAATATACACTGCCCTTGAGAAAAAGCAGCAGGATGATGAGCTCACCAAAGGAGTCGCAGTTAAAACCCAAGCAGGTTTCACTTTAATCACCAGCCATTATTCAAAATATTAGTGCTCTTGTGGTATTAAGAGACTGCACACACACTTCCACATTGAGTAATTGTCCTTCAACAAGTTTTCAAACATGAATTAAATGCCTGTATCAATTTAAGTGGAATCTAATGTGCAGATCTTTTTTTCCACCTCTGTTTACATTTCGTGTTTTAAGTCATGCTTCCATGCACATATGGAAACACTTTCTCTTCAGCATGTTGCACTTGCAGGCTTGGGTCAAACATTATCCCCATGTCCTTTCAAAAAACAATTCTGCTCCTTGTGGGATGACTGTGGATTATTCAGCACACTACAGAAGGCTTTGTGGGGATAACACTGATTATAGAGATTTTATCATCTCTGCACTCCCCAGGGTGAGTTTGTCCCAGCGCACAGAGCAGCAGCACACACGAAACAGTGTGCAGCACAACTTCCTGCTGTCTCCCAGTACAGGCCCACGTTGTCCCTAGGGACTGAGCTCCTTTCCAACCCTCCTTCCTACCTCTCCTATCTGAGGGCACTCTGGTGCAGGGTGAAGAAAAGGGCGCTCCCTGCTTTGACTCCACAGCGTCTGCTGGCAGCAAATCCTGCTGAACCCACCGCTCTCAGACATTTCCACAACTGAAATCCTTATTAACACAACATGTAAATGAAAGGATAAGAATCAGTGAGACATGGGAAATTTCAATGTACTTCACGAACAGCTCAACAAGAGCATGTTTCTTCAATAAGGCATCCCCATTATCTTATTTAAAAACAAGAATTTTGGAATAACAAGCAAGTGAACTGCGGTATTTACTGGAAAAAAGAAAAAGCTTTTTGTTTCATTAAAAAACCCTCAACGGGCAGGATAAGCAAGTGGCATAATTATATCACTTATAAAATCAGAATATATTTTAAACAAATCCTGGAGCCAAGTTTGGATAATAAAAAGCTCCAGGTTTTCCCTTGTCTAATTCATCTTTTTTTCAGAGACAACTGTGAAGAAAACAAAACAACAAAAGAACTTACCTTGACAGTTTCACACTGTTAAACTCTCCCTCAGCCTAGATCCTGCATTAAATGCACAGCAATAACCAGCATCACCTCAGTAAAACTCGTCCACATGAGCAGCGCGCTGCGGTTCAACAGCGCACAGCTGGGGACAGTAATTTCAGTCCTGTTCTGCCTGTGACGTAGCCTCAAGTCTCTGCGCTTTGAAGAGGCAGGGAGCAGACGCGGCCAAGGATCCTCCTCTCGGTGTATCACAACTCAGGGAAATCCAGAGACATCTCTAAAAACTTTATTTCAAAATCTTTTTATTCAACGGTTATTCAGCAATATACAATACAGTTTGTAAACAAATGTCTTACCTTGTTTCCAATCTTTATTTAAAAATAAATATTATTGACAGTGAATATTAATTATGGTAAGATGTGCCTTTTAATTGAAATGTCTCAAAAAGAAATAATTTAATTACAAAAAAGAAAAAAGAAATCAAAAGATCTAAGCACAATAATCTACTAAAAATATCTCCTTTCTTAGGAAAGGCTTTGACCCAACATTTTTACATATTGTCATAAAGATAACTGCTCAACAGTTCGTGCAAAATGAAGAGTCAGAGGAAAGGTTTAGAAAAGAAAAAATATTACATTAAAATAGAGAAATCAGAAGTGCCATGCACAAAGCAGGGCGCAACATCATTGAGTCTGGAAACTAGATGCATTATTTTATGTGATTTACTTTTGTGACATCCCCAAAAATACGTTTCCCCCCCCCCCTTTAGAATTTCTCATGCTTCTTTCAGTCTCTTTCTGTCCGTCTTTAAAACTGCAGGTATTTCTGTCAAAGGTTTGTTCTGTTTTTAAATAGGTTCCTTTTTGTTTGGCTGAGGAGTAGCTGAGGAAACAGTCCATCAGTGGTTTACTAATAAAACTACAAGCTTATGCAGTATTAACAGGAACATATATAGGAGTGGGTTTGTAGCATAAATAGGAACTGTACCTAAAAGAGAAAGAGACAGGGAGAGAAGGAGATTTTATTATCTTTTATAATATAGAAGATTAAACACAGAAGAAAAAAATATAGGAAGATTTATTTTTATCACTTCGGAGCGAGGGGTCAGAAGCTTAATTTTAACAGTAAAACAGCATCCTCAAGCTATCCAACTCAAAGAGCTTCTTCTTCATCTTCCCCTCTCTTACAAGTCTAACTCCACTCATGTCGTTTCATTCTGCATCACTAATGCTCTGCCTAAACTTGGCTTCTGCCAAGTTACCAGCAATTGAGATTTCTATAAATACACCTTAATCTGGTATATAGTTTCCTGAGAAATGACAGGTATCAACCACCCATTACTTTAAAAGAAAATGACAAATGCTGTGGCTGCATTCCTTGATTAACAGGACACGAACCCATTTCATTCGGAATGGCAACAGCAAGACCTTGACATCTTCTTTGCCTTTTATAGGAAAGAGTAAAATTTTCAATTAAACATATAAACATATATATATACACATATATATATACACACACACACGTAGGAAGTACAGAACACTGGAGCCTGATGTGAAGCACACAGGAGGCAGGCGAGGCCCCGCTGTGCAGACGCACTGTGGGCACCCCAGTCCCGAGAGCGGGCAGCAGGCACAGGGCTGTGCGGGGCGCAGCTCCCCCAGGCCTGTCTCACCAGCGGGCAGGTTCTCAGCCAAACACAGATCAGTGCTTGGCTGTTGGCAGGGCTGTGCCCACCACATGCTGGTGCCACAGGGCATCCAGGGCCGCTCCCTCTCCATAATGGGTCATGCCTGTCCTGCTGGGCAGGGTGAGAACAGCCGGAGGCTGCTTTGTGCAGCCCGCACAACAGGCAGCTCCTGCCCTTCACCCTCGGAGCCCCTCCCCTACGGCACCACCAGAGGAAATACTCTAGGAGGTTCTGCTAGGACTGCACTGCCTTGTAACATACACCTGCCTCGCCAGCAAAGCTGGGGTGTTACTATCCAAGAGCAGAAGTACTGCGGAGCGATGTGGTGAGTGACTGGGGAATCTGAGCAATGTTTTCGCAGACTCCTTAGACTGTGTGGAGATTATTTAGTTATTAAGGTTTTAATTAAATCCTTGCATGTGCACACACACACATGACTAACAACCTACCTGGCTAACAACGTACTTAGCAACAGCAGGACATTAAAAGGAAGTTTTTTTTTTTTTCTTTTAAGCTGAAAGCCATTAACAAACACAATTCACTTGGGTAGTCAAAGGAGTAATTGGTTAAACACTGGAAGTGTAAGGAAGTACAAGGAAGAGCACTGCAGATGCTGCAGCTCAGGTTCCGGGCAACAGACAGGACAAGGACATCTGGCCCCAAATGCCATGTTGCTTGCAGCAGCCACAAAGAGCAGCCACAAGCTGCCCAGAGCCTCTACTCTTCCTGACATTTCTTACATCTACTCTTTGTTGTAAACCAAACACTTCCTGAGGCAACGGGAGCTGAGAAACATGCAACAAATCTCACTTTGGAGACCTTTGGGTTTCTCATAAAAGGGAAGAAGGCAAACGACTACACAAAAGGAACCTTTCCAGTTACCATTTTAAGTAAAATTTAAGACACTCTACCTATCAGACTTCAGACTTGCAGAGGCAGCAGGATCAAAGGATTTTGGCAGGCAAGATGAAACATAGTTCAGCTACAACCAGAGCAGAGTAGCCAGATGAAGCACTGTGCTGCACAGGTGCACTCAGATGGACTGCACCTCCCATAACTCGATGGAGTTTCCCTCATTCCAGGACATCACTTGTGCAGAATGCAGTACCCAACAAAATCCAGGCCATGTTCTATTAAATCTCCCATGCAAAGCACTGTGCTAACAACACTGCCTGCAGCTCAGCGTGCTGCAAAGCACATGAGGGGCTATTTGCGCAGTCCTCGCAGGACTCTGCTGGGCTCAGCAATTTCTCTGAGCCCTTTGATTTGATCTAGATCAAGGATGCTGAGTCTCCCGCAAGTCAAGTCCACTGCTGCACCCATCACTAGGCTGTGCCTGGGCTGGCAGTAGTCCAGAGCATACAGTGGTTACACTATGTGTCCAGGTGTTGTGTGTTTAGCTACAGTACGTGAAAGCTGTGCGCTCTCCTTATTTTTCCTTAAGCATATACAATCAATTCACAAACCTAATCTGTAGTATAAGGAAAAAACTCTGATAACACATCTACCTACTGCACAGACAAAGCAGTTTGCTGATGTGAAAGCCTGAAAAAGTCAACAGTAAAACCCCAACTTAAGTCTTTGAGCCTAACATGCTGTATGGTATCTGAAGGTAAACTGTTTATTCACAGATTGCATTCCTGAGACAACAAAATTCCAACTAGCACATCCCTCTTTCCAAGCTGTCAGATGGTTCCTCTCACTTCTGGGATGTGTGACAGCTGTGGCCTCAACCCAGGCAGCTCCCCAGGTTCCTTCCTATGCTCCCTGCGCTGGGAGGCTCAGCCCCAGCAGAGCCCACGCCCTGGCAGACGCAATTCTGCCAGCTCCATAAACTCACATGGCTCTTATTTTTAATGCAAAGCAACATTAGCCCCAACTCCAGGCAAGGGTGCTGTGATGCCTTCCCAACAGCTTTCCTATGGCAATTTTAATTGCCATGACATAATATGGATTGCACCACTTTAAGTCTCAATGCAGAATTGTGAATTACAGTCTGCACTTTTTGTCTTCTCCTCTTAAAGAATCTGCCATATTTTTTACCTGTATCTTCCATTTCTGTGGGAGAACTTGATATAATTCAGCAAATAAATAATGATAAGATAGATTTCTAAAACTTATTTTAAAACAATTATTCATATTGAACACCAAGTACAAACTTCTCTTTCCATACCAATTCAATACTTTGGTCTAAAATTGTTCTGGTAGCAGAAGCAGATACAAAGAATTTCTGAATTCTCTTCCCTCCGAGCGCAAGTGGACCATAAACACTATTTCCATTAACTTCTCTCTGCCTAGCTAATCATTTTCATTATGTATAATATTGTTCATAAAGCAGCTGGACTAAAGTGTCCTTAATTCTGCTGTTAATGCAGTAGTGGAATTCTTGGCTTTACTTAATAAGTTCCTCTGTGTGAAGATGTAAATAAACAGAATGTGGTCTTGATTGGTAGTATCTGCACATGGGATTTGACTCAGTTCTGAAAACAGAGAGTTACCATCCAGAGTTTAAATCAAGAATACACAATTATTTGCAAAATACAGACACTTGGAAGAAATCATTTCATTTATGCACTGAATATTCATTTGATAATTTAAGTTTATCACCCATAGATTTAAAATTTTGTTTCTGAATTATTTATATACATGCAGATTAAAGAGAAAATCTATCCCTAAGTAGAACAGTAACAAATTATTCTGTTCATGTACAATCAATTGCTCTCTGACACTACCCATCCTTCTTTTGGATTTACAACATAATAATGTTTTACTATATTTGTCTATTTAAAGATATGTTTTGCACTGTATTCATCAGTCTGACTTGCAACAGTTTGTCCAATTGAAAATAATCATTAATTAACCAAGTGACTTATGACACACAGAAAAAATGGAACTCTAAAAGCCATATTCAGTCAGTGTTCATAAATAAAATATTCATCAGTTTCCTATTCTTTTTCCTAGGAAGTATCTCCCAAATCCTCTGGTGTCCAAGATGGTGAAAGAACACAGAAGCGCAAATAATACACGGTTGAAAGACATTAAGTCTTTTCTGCAGTGAGACAACACACGCAATTTGACCTCCCGTTCAGCCATTTCTATGAACTGCCTTTTCTGCCGTTGACATTCTCGGTCCTGGTCTGTTTCCTCACACGCTGATGTCCAATTAAAGCTCTTAAATCTAGCATTTCTTTAAAAGGTGAACCAAATATGTAGACTGATCTATTATTTCAGTCCAGAAACTTTAGGCTGTACTTGGGAGGAGCTACACCTATTATCTTATATCCATGGAAAAATGAATTTTTATATGGGTTGTTGGTCAAGGATCATTACAGTCAACAAGATTCTAGATTAAACAAACTCCCCTAAGCTTGGAGGACTTCCACTGAATTGAATGGCATTTCCAAAACTTCAGATCTAAGGACTTCTTAGAAGCTTTTAATTAAAAAGACATGGTTATTGAAGTTATTAAAGGTTACACATCTGCTAAAAGGAGTAATAAGCTACACATGCAAATTCCTACACAGTTCGAAACATGTTTCTATAACCCGCTTATATTCTTTTTCCATACTTAATATACATACCACAACCCCCCACAGAACATTTTGCTATCACCGTTTCTAACCCACCACTCATGGTTGGTGCCTTAAACTTCCTAACTGCCAGGGTGCTGCTGTTCCAGGACGGCACATGAGAGTGTCACAGTCTGGGCTCTCTAACCCGCGCCCAGCTAAACCCCAGCGCCAAAAAAAAAAAAAAAAAAAAAAAAGGCCTAGCAGAGCACGCACAAAGTGCAGCGTTGTTAAGGATATAAGCTAAATCTTGTTCTCGAGACATGCAGCATCTTCTGCTCCTTGAGCATTCCTCTACTGAAGTATTTAACCTCCAATCAGAGAGAACGAAACAACACACCTAACCTCTCTTGAATACCTGCCGTCCCTGTTTCAGCGTGTACTATGCAAAATGAGTCATGTACACAATACCATTATGGGCATATTAGAAAACTAAGAAACTAGATAGCAAGGAGGTGTAGTCATGCAAGGAAATGATGTGGAAAGACAAGTTACTTTCTCATATATGCTAATAAAAAGATCCCTTCTTCAGAGTTGATTCTGTAAAGTACTACAGTGCTTTGCTGGAAACCAATCTGTTTTGAGTGCCTGTGGGATAAAGCAGATGCAGGAAGAAGCAGAGAACTGAGTGTATGTTCCTTGAGGCACTTGCAATTACCAAAGTGGATTTCTGCTCACATTATAGCTCATTTCAACTGAGATTAATTAAGCCAAGTTACTCTCAAAATACT